GGATTCGAACCCGCGACCCTCAGATTGTGAGTCGAGTGCCTTATCCACCTGGCCATGCCGGGCCCTTTTTTACCTTTAATAGATTAAGCGTAAACTTATTATTTGAAGGTATCAGTTGCGCATTTGGGATTGAATTTGACGCTATTATAAGACAACTTGTGAAACATTCGAATACAATGTGTGTAATTATTGTGTTGGTCTGTTTATTCGGTTACTTATTGGGTCACCAGTAATTAAATTTATCTAAAGTGTTACTTATTTTCACTCTATTTTTAGTTGGTCGACTGATAACGCATCAGTCAATTTCTGATACAAATCGGCATTAATGCATACGTCCATCATCAGCTTAGACTTTCTAAAACTTTAGGTGAAAGATATCAAAATAATTTCTCATTTTTCATGAACTGAGGACACCCTATTTACTGATGCTGTTAGTTTCACATTGTGAACAATATGTTTAATAAGATTTGAATTAATTAGCTGTGAAATTCTAGACTTTGTAAAAGAGAATAAATTGAATATAGAGTCTGTCTGTCTTTTAGCTGAAAGAAATATGTATATATATATCGACACAGCTAATATAAAGATGGGTTATTTTTCTTCATCTTTCATACCATTGAGACATTATAAGGCTAGCAGTAAAATAATAAACCATAAGTCATTTGATTACAAATGCTATAGGAAAATTTAATGTGTCATACTGAGAAACGACTAGTGTCGTTTCACACATATATATATATTATCTTAGCTAAACATCTGTTCTTGAAATGACCAATACTCCCATAATAAGACGGAACACTAGAGTCCAGGATTTCCAACTTATAGTCATATTTGTATTCTAAACCATTATCTAGATAGATCTAACACTCCTGTGTAAAATGTATTCTTATCTTATCCATTACTTTAGTATTAGTATAGCAGTACTAATGACCTTTACTTAATCTACGAGTTATTAAAAGCATGTTTTTCTATAAACAAGGACCTTTACCTAGTATTTGGTTAACGTGAGTGCCTTGTGGTCAATCAACAAGACACTAAAGCTGCAGCATTTTTGCGTAGAAATTCTTCTTCCCGTGTCTGATATCTAGTTAGTCTGGTTACCTTGTGGTAGATCATTAGAGTTCTAAACGTCTAATACCATAGTGCACCTAGTCTCCTTCTTATATCAACCATGGTGCTCCTTCTTTCCTTGTTAAATTCATCATAGTGCCCCTTGTTTCCTTGTTATATTCACCATAGTGCACATAGTTTCCTTGTTATATCAACTATAGTGCACCTAGTCTCCTTGTTATATCAACCACAGTTCGCCTAGTCTCCTTGTTATATCAACCACAGTGACCCTAGTCTCCTTGTTATATCAACCATAATACTCCTTGTCTTCTTGTTATATTAATCATAGTGCACCTATTATTCTTGTTATATCAACCATAGTGCACCTAGTCTCCTTGTTATATTCACCATAGTGCACCTAGTATTCTTGTTATATCAACGATAAAGCACCTAGTCTCCTTGTCATATCAACCATAGTGCACCTAGTCTTTAAACAATCTAAGTGATTTATGGTAAACTTTCAGAGCACGAGCAATCTGATGATGCTGTCCAAGCATTCTTGTAAACTAAATATATTTATTGTAATCACGAACGTTGACCCGGGTATTATAGAACCCGTTCACAACGATACATATAGCTTTTAACATATATAACAATAAGGTGTATCAGTTGGCTATGTTAATAGTTATATAATTTGTGATATGACGTTTTCCTTTACCTTATAACAAATATAACATATGTGGTAAATAAAACAAAAATGCAGATATGTATTTTTATCACTTTATTTGGCACTAGCTTTTAACTCCTGTATTGAAGTCTTCATCAGGTACAATTTAGTTAGCGTAGCTCAAACTAGACTGTTATCTGAAATAATGAAACGAAAATCAACGTTTTTTTACTTGCACAATCATTTATTTGTAAAGATTAAACAATTAAAAACATATAAGTAGAGTTTTAAATTTCTTTTAACTTATATATTTTTAATATTTTAATCTTTTCAAATAAATGATTGTGCAAGTAATAAACGTTGATTTTCGTTTTATTATTTTATTTGACAACCAAGTAAATTTACAAAGAGCGGGTGCAAACACCATTCTAGATTTTTCATGTAATTCACAATCACATGTTCACAACATGTTTAAAAAGCTTTAACATATGTGTGTTTTATTAGTGGATAAAACACCTGTGTTATCTGATTTAATTTCTAATCATTATTAGTAGTCAAAACACTTGTGTTAGTTGTTGACAAACATACCATATTATGTTACCAAATAATACCTGAGTGTATATATATCAATAAAAAGACACTTCTATTGCCTGTTAACAGTTGTGTGTGTATTTTACCAGACAACACATTATATCTAATTTATTTGTTGACAGATAAAACACTCGAATTACCTAATAGCGCATTAGAGTTTTGTTCGTATAGAACACGTATGTGTTATTTGATATCGACGGTTTGTATTTGTTGGCAAACAAAAATCTAGGATTATCTGATAAAAACTATGTGATTTTGTTGATAAACAAATTTCAAGAGCACCTTTTAACACCCATTGTTCATGAGAGGCATCTTATGTGTGCAAGCTGTTGGTAGATATAACACTTTTATGCACATGCTGACTTGTTGAGTATCAATTCACAAAGAAATGTTCATGAAAACTTAATGTGGAAATAAATTTTTTTGTGGATATCAGTGGCAGTTCGTGAAATATATATATATCTATATAAACGACCAGGTGTTAAAAAAGTTATCTTTCTGATTAGTCTTGTTATCTACCCTCTAACTCACATTTTGTAAACCTGGTAATTTTTTCTGCTAATTCTTAGATCATTGTAACAGTTACTTGTAGTCTTAGAAGTTCTTTCTATCAACCATGTAGCTGCTGGTATTCAATTCATTCTTTTACTCCACTCTATAACCCGTAGTTCTGAACGTTTTGTCAACTCTGTGTCTTGTCTCCAAGTTCACCACATTTCACTGTAAATGTACTCTTCAAGGATATTATCTTTAGCTTATGGTAGTTAGTTTTCTATGTTTGTTTGAAAAACACTTTGTTGAAATTAGGATTGCTGGTTTACTATAGAATATTGTACCTAGATCAAAGTTAGTGATTTACTATAGAATATTGTACCTAGATCAAGGTCAGAAGTTTATTATAGAATACTGCATCTACAAAACTATCACTGGTTTACTATAGAATAGTGTACCTAGATCAAAGTTAGTGATTTACTATAGAATATTGTACCTAGATCAAGGTAGCTGTTTCAAGGTGTATTTCTTGTGCTTAGACCAAATTCACTCTGAATGCTCATTAAAAGGACTAGTTTTCTAGATGAAGCTCGTTGGTTTACAATATGAAGTTTGAGGTCGTTTGTCCTCTATTTTTCTGTGTTTCAAGAGGACCATATTATTCAATTAGTCCATTTATCTTGATTATCAGAAGTCCTTTTGTCTCAATTATAGACATTTTGGTTTCTATTTCGTAAACAAGTCTTAAAATATTTGGTTTAAAACGCTTTTAACATTTGTCAGAAATCTCAGATTTGGCCAGATATGTATATAAATAAAAGTAGTGATAAATATTCAAGCATGTTATATTATAGTTCAGAGTTGAAACGAACCAGAAAGTCTCCCGGTGGGTCAGCTATAAGTTTCAGAGCTAACAATGCCAAAATCCGGGGTTAGATTCCTCGAGATAGACAGAGTACAGATAGCCAATTGTGAAGTTTTGTGCTAAACAATAAATCAAACGAACAAAAAAGGAAAACAATATTTTATAAAACAAATATTTTAGAAACATTTTAAGCAAAGGTTTCTAATGAAACTTGAAGTAAATATTCTGCATGTTCATCAATGGGTTAGTGATAAGTTTACGGACTTACAACTCTAAAATCCGGGGTTCGTTTCTCCGTGGTGGAGAAACACAGATAGCTCATTATGTGACTTTGCGCTAAAAAACAACAATAAACAAACAAAATAGAAAGTTGAGTTTCATATCTCTCCACTGATAGTAAATATGGTAGCAATAACGATCTTTAATTAAACAGGTTTTGTTCTACAAATTTAATATATCAAACTTTCATCAACGCTGATAAATAGACGGAGATTATTTTAATAAAAACAGCTTACAGTTACTATTGGTACTAATATCCAGCGAAATTCGAGAACCTAGCGGTGTCTTATGTTGTTATGGTAGTTGTAACAACCAAGAGATACATATCTATATTAGTTCTAATGCTTGCTCCATTGGAGACAGACACTAAATACGGTAATGGTTGCAAACCATATTAGAAGAACTAAGAAATACAACTCTCTATTAACTGGAATGTTTGTCTCTTTTAGAAACAAACACAGAATAAAAGTAAGAGCTGCAAACCATCTAAGTAGAGATTCTAACATTAGTATCTAATCAATAACAATGAAGGTAACTGGAATAGTGTTGCGAAACAGAATGTATTCAATTATTAAAGAAAATCGCTTATGAATGGGGACGTTGAATGTCATAACAATTGAACAATTTCTTCTTGCAAATCATTGAATTAAGGAGTTAAAATTAGCAAGAAAGGATAGAAATTCTCAGTTTAAAACTTAAAAAAAAAAAACTGTTTTACCTGGCCAGTCAAAAGATTTCCAATTTCCAGAAATAAAATATAACGCTTGGAAACAAATAATATCTACAACTGCCTTCTGTCCAAGTCGAAGACACAGCAGGCCTTAAGCCATTCCTAGAAGTTCTGGTACAGTTTTCACGGTCGATAACAAGGACATGGCCTCATCTTTATTTTTGGTGGGGTAAAGGACCGATGTCAGCTCATTAATGGCTACATATTTATGTTTACTTCTTTTTTATATCAATTGCGTCGTCCGAAAAGTAAAAAAACAACAACAAAAACGTAACTAATTAGGCCTTATCTTCATTTTTTCAAGAGCAGGGGTAATCCGAAGTGAGTAACTGAACTGCGTGAATCGGCACACAGTTATCTACACTGTATTGTGTTTCATGTGAAGCAGTGGCGCTGTGTGGAAGAAGCTGGAGAGGCGGGGAACACTCGAAGTGACGTGAACGTTGTTGGGATCATGTGACCTTAGTTTCTCTCCAATCACACATTTTACCGAAATTCTCCTATAAAAAAAAGAAAGAAAGAATTTAAAGAATCATATGTGCAATGTACACAGAATGGCTATTTATTTATTCAAACTCCTACGTACATTGAAATTAATTAAACATCATTAAGTAACTTACTAAGTGATGTTAATTATCAATCCGTGAATTACGTTATTTTTGTACATTCATCTATATTAATAATCATTCTTAACACTCTCACGAATGAATTTATATTATGCACCGTAATCTCAGACAAAATATTAACTTATCAATTTACTATTGTTCCGAAAGACAAAGTTATAAATCATGCTAAATAATGTAAATGATATCTAAACTTATGACTATCATTGGTGAGCTAGACCACTAACCTCGTGAATTATTCATGAATGTCTGTTACTTGTGAGATTAGAGAGGATTAAGAAGAAACTTTTCATATAGAATTGATGGACGAAGGCTGGCTTTGTTGGTAACAGTATGAGATAACTGTGGATTAAAATACGCCCTACGTTCTGACATACGTAACAAGCTTATTATGGAGTCCAACTGACTGTGTTTTGGCCTCAAGTTATTGATAGGTGGACTTCATATTACTGACCTTAATTATGGTCTTAAAATCATTTGTATCACAGTATCTCTGTTTTGTTAGGTGTTTGACTTTAGTTTACAAGGGTCTGCAACCACCTCGTGACCAGTATGTCTTTGTGTAACAACACAAATGTGCAACTTGATATAAAACATTAACCGTTTTAATTAGTGATATTCTATTTTGATATCTAAAGAAACCTTGTAAGTGGTAGCTTGGTTTTAAAATAAGTCTTAAATGTGCGTGCAGAGAAATTCTGTGTTATTTTGTTTTACTTTTTACCTACTGAGCATGTTTTTCAATATAAGGCAATAATACAGACACAGGTAGTTTTGGAACATCATATATATAAATCATACAAGAATCTGAAATTGTTGATGAAACAATAATGGTTTGTCTAAATTAGTAATGAACAATACTGTTAGTTGAGCGTGCAAAAGTAGAACTCCACATTAGATTTTAACTTGTCGTAAATTCAAATAAATTACTATGTACATATCGAATATTGATTTCACCAACTTCATAAGAGTCAACTGTAGCCGGATCGAGTACTTACTATAAGAGATTGTATACTATTTATCAATAAATATACATGACAGCTGAGATATGATCAAGCTAAATCAATATCAACGGGTCAGGTATGAATTGTTAATGTATAATAGATTGTAATCACAGCACATAAGAACACTAAAGGTCTACAACCTTTATGAATTGAGTTATCGTTACAAACCAACTTCCCCTATTTATATGAATCTATCAAATATTTAAGTACAGGCTTTCTTATAGCTATGTGTTTATGGAAAACAAGACTTCTGTTTACTGAAATACTTTTCGGTATTCTAAAGTTATTCTTATTGCTGCCCAAATTCATATTACTGACCTTAATTATAGTCTTAAAATACTTTGAATGGGCATCTCTGTCACAATTTCTCTGAGTTTTGTTCGAGCATATTTGTACTGTTAGGTGTTTGACTTTAGTTTACAACACTTAACCAAACAGACAAATACAGAAAGTCTTGCGATTTTCTACTATAAATGTGGTAAAAAATAACTTTTATCGATGTAGGATAAGGGTTCTGATTTGACTTGACATATAATTGTAAAACTATATAGAAAAAGACTAATGTTACTTCTGTTGTACGAATCGTAACACACATAGAGAGAAATGTGAAATACAAAGGAGGCGAGAGTTGGTCGATTCAGCCATTGTTATAGATAGAATACAAGTTGCTTGGCAGCCTCAGATAAAAAGGGTGTTAATATGCCATTCAGGCTAAGACATTGCTCGCATTATCCTCACGCAAAGCAGACAGTTTTGCCCCCACTTTCTTCCCGGTAAAGAACAAAAAGCTAACGTTGGAAGTGTCATCACGCACAAGGTCTTTACTTCGGTTCAAGTGACTGAACACGATCTCGAGGTGCCAAGGAAGCTTACCTTCATTTTAAGCTGTCAAAAACGCAACAACCTTCCAATGTTTGTAATTAGCACACGGCTTCGAATTTTGTCTGAGAACTTTTATGCTCTCCTTTAAATTGTTTGATACTTCACAATATATATATATATATATTATAACCTACGCTTAAAAGTATTTTCATGACTATCCGATTTTAATTAGCTATTTGTATTTATCTAGTAAACTTTTCTTTGACAATCTACGATCCTACTCCGAATGCAGTGTACAGCTCAGTGTCCTATACGTTACAGGTTTGTTCCTAATTCAGATACAACCTTGCAAATTTAAATGGCATTTAAAAATGCTTTTTAATGATGTTTCATTCTACCTCTCTGTTATTCTGACCTGATGACATTATTCACGGATACATCCGTTAATTACTCTCCGTCCTGAATAGTATTTATACACAAATAAAAAAAAATTGTTAAAAACCAATCTTTAAACCATTCCGTCTGTTTATCTATCTAGTTAGATCATAAAGGTTGAGTGTACGTTTCGTAAACAACTATACATTTAAAGGCCCTGAATTAGGGATTTTGAGTCATACTGTAGGTTCATGGTTTGCAACAGCTACTAAATATTCTTTAATTGATTGTTAATCTTCTGTTTTAGGAACAGACTTCGAAGAATCATTGAACAGAATTTTGTGTTAATGAAAACGTTTAACAATGTACTTTGACCATGGAGTGCTATACGATTGTCTCATCGTAGGAGGACAATAAAAATTGGAAGCATACTTTGAAATACATCGAAAATAGATCACAGCCAGGGTCGAAGAGGTATTGCAAATCAGACACCATATTTTTCTTCCTCTGTGTAACGTCAGAGATATCCCAAAGTTTTTTTCCTCTGTGTAATGTCAGAGATATCCCAGAGCTGCTACCTCTGTGTAATGTTAGAGATATTCCAGAGCTGCTTCCTTTGTGTAATGTCAGAGATATCCCAGAGCTTTTTCCTCTGTGTAATGTCAGAGATATCCCAGAGCTGTTTCCTCTGTGTAATGTCAGAGATATCCCAGAGCTGTTTCCTCTGTGTAATGTCATAGATATCCCAGAGCTGCAGCTTTTACCTTCGTGGCAGTTTTCTTCTTTATGTAGCATTGCAATAAGAACCATTTGACAGGCGCTTATGTGCTACGTTCGATATCATAAAACGTTCAAGTCACGCCTTAGATAAAGCAGAGACACTTACCTTTAAGTACTTTCTGTTCGGTCAGTTACTTAACTAAGACTTCTGTTATAGTTGTGCAAAGAAAAAAATGTTCACGTAGAAAGTACGTAATTTACAAAAATATTAAGTAAAAGTACTTCGAATGTACTTCAACAATAATGATTTTTTTCAGACTATAATATAGCTTAATGTATGTGCGAACATGTAAACATACAAAGATTATATTAAGATTATTCTTATAATTTCATTACAACATTTTTTTTACACATTTCCTATTGGTAGTCTGCCTATGCGATGTACACATCGCATGCCTGTCTTATGCCATAATAAAAGTTTCACTAATGTTTATATTCTTGTACAACTTATCATTCCCTGTAGAAGAGATCCGTTGCTCCTCGAAACGTTGGGTATATTTTCAGCTGAGTTTACTGAAGTACTGTAAAAAAGTTGTTTCATTATCAGTTCTCCTAGTTATAAAATGTTTTCTTTTCAGTATATTACATAATGAATAAAGCAGAACTAAACACATACCTGTGATAATGTTTTGCTAAATAAAATAACGAGCTTAACGCCATTGAATATGATTTTGAAGTTGGTATATTTCTAGAACTAAGATATGAAATGATTCTGTGAACGGAACATGATTTGACTATCTTCGTCTGACGGGTTTTAAAATGTTTAGAGATTAAATTTATTTATTGCAAGTAATAGTGGAAACTGAGCGGGTCACAGTAACACCAAATTACACCGGAGAATTACACTAATCGAAGGAGATTAGTACTATTCCAGGTACAAAACCTACTCCCTCCATACATACAAAACACATACAATTTGTTAGTTTTGTTTGTTTGGTTTTTGAATTTCGCGCAAAGCTACACGAGGTCTATCTGCGCTAGCCGTCCCTAATTTAGTAGTGTAAGACTAGAGGGAAGGCAGCCAGTCATCACCACCCACCGCCAACTCTTGGGCTACTCTTTTACCAACGAATAGTGGGATTGACCGTCACATTATAACGCCCCCATGGCTGAAAGGTCGATCATGTTTGGTGGGACGGGGATTCGAACCTGCGACCCTCAGATTGCGAGTCGAGCGCCCTAACCATGCCGGGCCTACACTACAATTTGTTAGACTAACATATAATTTATATGGGTGTCACAAGATTAGTTTAAATGTAAAATTATGTTGTTGGTATAAAATATTCTGTATGACTGGTTCCCATTAACAGTATTTCTTTATGATGGTAACTTTACCAGCCATCATCTACCGAAATATAATTTATAGTGTGAAAAGTCCTCAGATTTAGCGCTGAGTTAATGTGGAGAAATCTAAAATGACATCTGAAATTTGAAAAAGTTTGAAGCGTAGTGACAAAAATTTAAGATTCATATCGGTAGTTGTAAAAGTTGAAAAATTAATATTAAATAATAATGAAACATTAGAATTTTTGTTAATGTGAAGTTTTTATTGATGATATTTATTTGATCGAAGAAAACTCCAAAATACAAAATTCATTACTCAAAATTGTTAAAAAGTTTAGCCGAGTTTTTGCACGAGCAGCAACTATAATAAGCTTACGCAGGTTTAAGCTGTCCTTAGCTTGAAAACTCTAGAACTTGGAGTTTTATGTTCTTAACGAAATAAAT